CTCACAGCTCAAGGTGTCTACTGCAGATATGTCCGTCACGTTCTCAATACTATGACGCCAGGCGAAGACATCAGAAGATCTCATCCAAGGCAAGCAGTGTGTTTTCGGCATCCGTGTTAGTTGTTGTTTTTTCTCTCTTTTTGTTTTTTTTTTTTTTTTTTGGTCTGCAGGTTCGAGCAGTTGAAGAAACAGTATGATATTTCAGAAGAATCGGTGCCACAAGCTGGGTCACAATCATCTCAAAATATGGCGGCTAGCCTCATAAGTAAGCTCGTCTTTTTACCTCGATTACATGTGACTTCACGTTTGCTATTTACTTGCAGCAATTACGATCAAATGCGTTGCTGCCAGCCTAGGAGAAATCGCACCAGTGACTAGAAAGCTTCCTGGTTCGATGACGGTATTGCGTGGTGCATATTTTGCAGCGAAAACGATTGCTTGCGTGTATTGCAGGTCGGTAAGCTGAAGCTGCTTTGCGAGGCTTTGTTCAAGCTGAAAGCAACAAAGCAACGTCTTTTTTTGGAGGAAAAGGTCGTGCTCTTCCTCGCTTTCATTCACGACAATTGTCGTACTGATTGCCGCTTCTACACAGGAGAGCCCGCTGCCGCTTCCTCTCGATGACGACCTGGAGAGCCTCGGAAACATTGGATTTGGACAACAGGGTGTTATTCTAATGGAAGAATGTAAGCATCGCGTTGCAGGTCTTGGTATCATCCAAAGGACGTGCCAATTTAAACTTACCCTTTTTCATATTTCTTTCAGGTTGAATGCGATGTGCCGTGTTGGTGAGTGCAACTAAATTTTCAGCACATCGTCATCATCCTCGGCATCGCATTGGTGTTGTTACTGTAAACAAAAGGATGACTCTCCGTGTGCAACGATGCTCGTGCTCTTTTTTTACAATTTTTTCTTTTCTTTCCGTGCCACAGATTTGTGTCCCTCCTCATTATTTACATGATCCGCAAGAACCGGAAGCATATCCCGATGACCAGTTGCGCTGGAGGAAGTAAAGTTCCGAGTCCATTGGATTTCTACTCCAGCACAAATTTTCTTTCTCCATGGAAGGTAACTGCTTCGCAAGCTCGACTTGCTCACACTTTTCGTTCTTGCAGCAGCGAGTGAAGTCTAGAGCAACATGTCTAGAGATCTCCGCGATAGTCACGCTCCACCCTGTGGAGACAATCAAGACTCTTGCGTCGATTCGCCAATGCCGTACTTGGTGGCGGCACTGGGAGCCATGCTGCTGCTCGTGGTCCTCACACAGACACTGCGGCTTATTTCGTATCTCCGGACCTCCCAGAATCTTAGAGCCGCCGCTAGTGCCCAGCAGCATCTCCAGCTCCGGCCAGCCGCGGGAGATGACCACCAACAGGTCGAGAGCAAGTTGACACCAGGCCAGTGCCGTGAAATCGTTGTCATCATGGCTGGTGACGAAGCTCCCACTTTCCTCGCAGAGCCAACGAGAGTGGAAACGCCTACTCGGTAGTTCTTAACACTGGATCCTGTTCTTGACAACCAAAATCACGAAAGTTCCTCGTCCAAGAGGTACTTTTTGTCTTTCCATTGATTTCTCTTGTGCTATTGTTAACAACAATTACGCTCTTGTTTTGGAGGATAATCTGCCGACCAGAATAGTTTAAGAGCAAACAAGGCTGTGGCAGATGTTGGCAAGTTCTTGAGTGTCTTGGAGCTAGAATAGCCGGCCGAGATTTTCTTTGTCCGTTTTGATAAGTCTAAACCATTTAGAAACACTCGTTCGGTTTCCCAGGTCCTGTTCGTGCCTCGTGATTTATACCAGGCACCGAGGAGTTTACTTCTGTGCCTCTGCCAAAATGCTTCCAGCACAGAGCGCGTTCTTGCGGATGTTTTGCTGCCATGGGCCTCTCACCAGGTAAGCTTCTTACTCTAGATTTCTAAATCGCCTAAAAAATCTTCTCTCCTGTCCTCATAGTTACCAGGAAGATCACAAAGGAGGCGGCTCGAGCTGGAGGATCTTCACATTCAAGGAACTTATCAATGCTACTAGCAACTTCTCGGACGATCGAAAGCTTGGAGAAGGTGGCTTTGGCAGCGTTTTTTGGGGACAACTTAGTGATGGTACTCAGGTAAGCTATCATGGCAAAAGAAAAGACTGCGCTAAACTCATTCGTATCTATAATAGATTGCAGTCAAGAGATTGAAGAACCTGACCACCACAAACGAGATGGCATTTGCGGTGGAAGTCGAGACATTGGGACGCGTCCAGCACAGAAATCTTCTAAAGCTCCGCGGCTACTGCACAGACGGCCAAGAGCGCATCATCGTCTACGATTACATGCCGAACTTGAGCCTCCTGTCACACCTCCATGGAAAGCTCGGCTCCAGCGCGTGCTTAAGCTGGCCGAAGAGGGTGAAAATCGCGATGGGATCCGCGGAAGCAATCGAGTAAGTTCATGGCTTTTCTTGATATCTTTGTCTAACTTTGCATTGCCAGATACTTGCATCACGATGCGAACCCCCACATCATCCACAGGGACGTGAAAGCCAGCAACGTTCTCATCGACGCCAACTTCGAGGCACAGATCGCCGACTTTGGCTTCGCCAAGTTCGTCCCGGAGGGAGTGACTCACATGACCACCCGAGTGAAAGGAACGCTGGGATACTTGGCCCCAGAGTACGCGATGTGGGGGAAGGTGTCCGAGAGCTGCGACGTCTACAGCTTCGGGATCCTGCTGCTGGAGCTCATCAGCGGGCGGAAGCCGATCGAGAAGATGGGGTCGGGAATGAAGCGCACCATCGTCGAGTGGGCCGCGCCGCTCGTGTTCCAGGGGAAGTTCGAGGACCTGGTGGATCCCAAGCTCCAGGGGAAGTTCAGCATGCTCCAGCTCAAGAAGCTGGTTCACGCGGCCACCTTGTGCGCGCAGAGCAATCCGGAGAACAGACCCACGATGCGAGAGGTGGTGGCCATCCTGAAAGAAAAGCGTCTAGACATGACCTCTGGGAGTTTCCGGATGGACACTGTGAAGTATAGACAAGAACTCTTGGATGAAGAAGACTAAGAAGTAGTTCCTGGAACTCCTGGAAGAAACTACTTCTTAGACTTCTTCCAGAGAGTTTTTTTGTTTCCAAGTCTATGGCTTTACAAAGGCCAGAACTCCTGGATGAAGAAGACTTAAGTTTGTTCTTCATCTAGAGAGTTTTTTCCCAAGTGTATAAGTTTGTCAAGCAAAGAAATTTTTTTTCCAAGTGTGGAACTTCGAGGGATTAGGGTTCTTGTTTGCGATGGACAACGCTGGTGGATCAGGCGCTGGTGGAAGTGGGGTCTTGGCTCCGCCACCGCCGATTGAGCCAGTGACTTACATGTGTGGAGGTGAGCGGCGCCATGTTTTACTTCGCTTGGTGTGGGTTTTTAGATCTTTTTGTTTGCTAGATTGTGGAACCGACAATTCGCTCAAGCCTGGGGATGTGATACAGTGCCGGGAATGCGGCTATCGCATCCTCTACAAGAAGAGAACTCGAAGGAGTAAGCGAATCTCTTGTTTGTTGTGGTTTTAGAGCTTTCCATTCGCTCATCTCGGCTCTTGGGTGATTGCAGTTGTGCAGTATGAAGCACGCTAGGCGGCAAAACTCATCCTTTTCGCATGAATCTTAAAGACGATACTGTTCTTTCTCGATCTCCTCGATCTCTCTCACATCCTCTAGGTACTGTGCTGCGTGTTGTTTTGATAGTAATGGAAGCCCACTAAAGTGGAAGTCCACTTTCTGGAAAAATGCATGAAAGGTGTCACGTATCAATCAAGTGTTTAGGTACTTCAAAATTGCCCAAGATGGGCATCTTTATTTTTTATAAAGAATGATGGAAGAATGAATATGATGGAGCAATCTTTCAAAACTTTGGTCTTGGCCTAGAGCTTTGACATCATGCTAACCTGCTTGTAGTGGCTGGGTCTGCTGTCTGGATACGTCACAAGCACCATCCTGTAGCCTTCACGCTTGAGAAGCAACTGTTGACTCAACTCGAGTTGCTCACAGGCCATTTCTCCGGCATGCACACTTGAACCTCGGATGACTTTGGAGTGGAGGAGCATGAACTTGCCATCTGCCAGCTCCACCACCGCGTTGTGCCATGGCGTTGGGATGTGGAAGTTCTTCTCCTCGGAAGAACGCTGGGCTGCCACAAGAGAGGAATGGATGATGTTGATACCATACTTGGGACCTCGATTTGGATGCGGATGGATGGAGATGCGCAGCTGCAACGGGAAGAGCCACTCCACCATGGCCGAGTATGCACGGTTCCTGAGGATCATGAGGAAGGCAACCTGGCTGCACAGCTTCTTCTTGGCCGACTTTGACGGGAGATTCTTGCAACTCTTGTGTTCGTACAAGTCCTCGAGCATGAACCTGGAGAAGCCACGATAAAGATTGCGTGTCTCCGGGTCATCCTTGATCTCCTTGGTGACAGTTGACTCGTCACAGCCAAACAAGCACATGAGAGCTCGCCTGGCATTCTCTGCATTGGCGGTGAGCTCGGTAGCAACAGGATGCTCCACGGTGGTGTTGGAGATGAGCTTCGTAATGCTGTCCTCACTGTGGTTGTCCAGCAGAAACTCATCCAGGCGAAAGAAATTGACCAAGCCCGGATACAAGTTGTGTGCCATCTCCCAAAACATCTCGCCATAAGAATCCACAGCAGCGTCGTCCGAGCCGACGAGATCGGAGAAGACATGGCCATCCGAGACGACGTTGTAATGCACGCCTGGAGCATACACGGCCTTGATGAGATCCGCAACAATCTTCATGGAATGGATGGCCAGCTCCTCGGCCTTGTCGGGGAACTTTCCCAGAGTCTTGTCGGGATTACACGACTTGACTGGAAATGCCGGCAAGATGAACTCGAGTGGGATATTTCTTGCGACGTGGTACCTCACCTTGTCCGCAAACCTCTGCTTGCCCCCACTTGTGAACCACTGGTCGTGCTTTGGAAAGTGGATGTAATTCCTCTCGATGATGTCCACAATTTGGGAGGTGATATCGTCCACCTCTTGAGGTGTGTGCGAGCTGAAGGACTCCAGGAGGCAATCTCTGGTCATGACGCTAGTGTCCAGCAGCAGAGAGGCCAGGTAGCTCATCTCGCTCTCCACTGTGCCCGCGGGATCCTGCATGAAGGCAACGCCCTCGAATCCGTTGCCAATATATCTCTCGTAGACAGTGGCTGTCCACTCCTGATCATCTGCTGCTCCAAGCATGGAAATCGTGTATCTGTTGATCTCTGGAGCAATAGACCGTGTGGCTTGCTTGGCCGCCTCTAAATCTTCTTCTGTGCTCACAACCATGGAGGAAAACATGAAGTCACTACTCTGAGCGGTAGAAACAGGGACATATCTTGACGCAGACTGTGAGATGAATGCAACCTCGCCATTCTCCCTGTGAATATACAAGAATGCAATCTTGTCCTTGGGATAAGCCATGACTCTGAGTTCGTCACTGAGAAATTCAGGTCGAGCTAAATCGTCAAGTGCCAGTGGTGTGGATCTTAGGAGCCCGAGTCTTTTATACGGGAAAACCAAAGGTTCGTCTATCTTTGACTGACGTGATATTTGAAAACGTCTTGTCGAGGGAAGATTCCCTGTAAAGTAACGTCAAAGTCGGCTCCTTCAATGCATGTTTTGTGATAAGCACATTGGATCCTGCGTATAAAGAATTGCAAAATGAATGTTCTTCGAAGCCAAGATTATGCTTCAAGCTAGAACTAGGTCTCTAGCAAGCGATCACAGTAAAAGTTGTCAAGCATTACCGTGTTGCTTGTACCATTTTTGGGAATCATCCTCTTTCGCTATAAGCACGTGTAAAATAGTTTATGCTTGCCTTAAAGGACCATTAGAACCATGCAAAGTTTTGCAAACACATGGATCCAACGTGCTTATCGCAAAACCATTTGTTTCGAATAAGCAACAGGGATGTCCTGCGTGGGCCATCCCAATGCAATGGATAATTCAACGTTCATTCAGCCGAGTAAGTTATGGAAAGTTTTGTAATGCTTCAGATTCAAACTTCCTAGTGTCCAAAAAGATTTTATTTTTCTACCTTACTGTAGGCCCAAGTATATCTGATATCTCATCTGCGTAAGCTGTAGGATGTCTTAAGCCCTCTTGCTTTGCTAATAAATAAACAACTGCGCAACAACACTGTACATTTTGAAACTCTTAGATCTTTCCAATAGCACATTGCCCTAATTTTAGGGTTTCCTAGTGTTAAGCTTCCAAACTCCTGATTTCCATGGCTTTTCCAAAGGACAAGATTGCGTTCTTGTATATCCAGAAGGAGAATGGCGAGGTGGCATTCATTTCACAGTCTGCCATATGTCCCCCAAGTTGCCACTCAGAAGAGCAGTAGTGACGAATTCATGTTTTCTTCCATGGTTGCGAGTACAGCAGAAGATCTAGAGGCAGTCAAGCAAGCCACACGCTCAGTGGCCCCAGAGGTGAACAGGTACACCATTTCCATGCTTGGAGCTGATCCATGCTCCTCGTGGGAAGCCACCATCTACGAGAGATACATTGGGAATGGATTCGAGGGCGTGGTTTTCATCCAGGAGGAGGATAGCGAGAACATGAAGTATCTGGCCTCTCTGCTGCTGGACAACAGCGTCATGACTAGGGATTGTCTTCTGGAGCCCTTCAGCTCGCACACACCTCAAGAGGTGGACGACATCACCTCGCAAGTTGTGGACATCATAGAGAAGAATTACATCCACTTCCCAAAGCACGACCAGTGGTTCACCAGCGGGGGCAAGCAGAGGTTCGCGGACAGGGTGAGATATCATGTCGCAAGAAATATCCCACTGGAGTTCATCTTGCCGGCATTTCCAGTCAAGTCGTGCAATCCCGACAAGACTCTGGGAAAGAGCCCTGACAAGGCCGAGGAGCTGGCCATCCATTCCATGAAGATTGTGGCTGATCTCATCAAAGCCGTGTACGCTCCAGGGGTGCACTACAACGTTGTTTCGGATGGCCATGTCTTCTCCGATCTCGTCAGCTCGGACGATGCTGCTGTGGATTCTTATGGCGAGATGTTTTGGGAGATGGCACACAACTTGTATCCGGGTTTGGTCAATTTCTTTCGCCTGGATGAGTTTCTGCTGGACAACCACAGTGAGGACAGCATCGCGAAGCTTATTTCTAACACCGATGTGGACCACCCCGTTGCGACCGAGCTCACCACACATGCAGAGAATGCCAGGCGAGCTCTCATGTGCTTGTTTGGCTGTGACGACTCAACAGTCACCAAGGAGATCAAGGAGGACCCGGAGACACGCAATCTTTATCGTGGCTTCTCCAGGTTCATGCTCGAGGACTTGTACGAACACAAAAGCTGCAAGAATCTCCCGTCAAAGTCGGCAAAGAAAAAGTTGTGCAGCCAAGTTGCCTTTCTCACGATCCTCCGCAACCGCGCATACTCGGCCATGGTGGAGTGGCTCTTCCCGTTGCAGCTGCGCATCTCTATCCACCCGCATCCAAATCGAGGTCCAAAGTATGGCATCAACATCATCCACTCCTCTCTTGTGGCAGCCCAGCATTCTTCTGAGGAGAAGAACTTCCACATCCCAACACCATGGCACAATACGGTGGTGGAGCTGGCGGATGGCAAGTTCATGCTGCTGCACTCCAAAGTCATCCGAGGTTCGAGTATGCATACCGGAGAAATGGCCTGTGAGCAACTCGAGTTGAGTCAACAATTGCTTCTCAACCGTGAAGGCTACAGAATGACACTGATGAGATATCCAGACGGCAGACCCAGCCACTACAGGCAAGTCAGTGTCTAGAATTGCTCGGATTATATTCTTTTTAGGTCAAATTAAATCAAATTTGAAATAAGTGAATACCATATTTTATTTTCCACGTCTTGAATTAGAGTTCTAGATTAGTTTTTGTCGCTCCTCGCGACAACACACCAGCGACGTGGAGAATCACTGCTGCCTAGCCTCGTCTCTAGCCTCGTCAGCGACCTTTGCTAGAACCTCTGCCAACATCCTAACCCAGGGCTGCCCACAAGTTGGACAACTCACACAGATTGGTTGATCTTGAGCAATTCTCGCTATGATACGCTCCTCCAACAACCGTAGTCGCCGCTGCACTGCCAACCTCCGCTCCACGCACTCCAAGGCTGTTGGACGAGGCATCCTTCCAAGACCTTCTCTTTAATTCACTCCCTTCCCTTCTACACACATGCTATGCCTCCAATTGGCCGTCCCCCCTATCGTCAACCTCTGGCACCAAGGGACGCACCCTGTTTTCAGCAGAATATTCCCTTATTCCCCCCACTATAACCAAAAAGAAGGAAAAAACCCCGACTTGGACCAAGTCTTATTTTTGAGCTAGCTCTGGCCTTCGACATCACCCCGGCAACTATTGTGCTCTGTCCCTGGAGCACTCCTCGCCAGATGGAACTTGGTAGCACTGCAGTTGAGCTCCGTTCACTGGTGTGGGCAAAGGATTACCAGCAAAATCCTCCAGCTTGACTGAGCCATTGATATTCACAGCCTTCACGCGATAAGGCCCAATCCAGCGGATCTTAAGCTTTCCCGGACGCTTCCAGTACTTGCTCTCATACAGTAGCACGAGATCTCCTTCCTGAAAACTCTTAGCCCATAAATGACGATCATACCACTTCTTGCGTTGACGTTGGAGAACTTCACGGGCTTGGAAAGCAAGGAGGCAAGTCTCATCCAGCTTCTCCAACTGCTCCAGCCGCTGCTGAACAGCTCCATCCCAGTCATAATTGTGAGCTACCGCTGTCCGCAAAGAAGGAACTTCCAGCTCGAGAGGAAGGATCGCCTCCTGG